CGCACTCACACACACACACAAACACACACACACAGAAACGGGGGGTCTCCACAGTTCACCTAGTTTCCGGTGCCTGGTGACAAACCCAACAAGTTACGGTCTTTGCTTTCCCTGCTTGGGACCCTAATGAGATGCTGGCCGAGCGCAGGTTCTACGCGACCTTTGCGTGGCGACGGTTGACCTGGAGAATCGACGTGTTCGTTTGATCATGGATGATGTGGACGGTGCCATTGCAGACCGGGCCTCAGCTCTCTTCGCTAGGACCTGCGGACGTGTCGCTGCGCGGGCGTAGCTTCACTGAAAGGACGTGTCGAGACATGAACTCCAAAACCTGCACCTTGAAAGCCAAAGCTGAGCAATAGAAGACGAAATTTGAAGGGTGGCTGTGATGTGGTCCCTAGAAACGAGAAGCATGGCAAGGCAGGCCAAGCCCTGCAGTACAGTTAGCCCTCTAATATAGTTTAGTTGGCTCGTTTGTTGTTTGGTTGGTCGGTCGGTCGGTTGGTTGGTTGTCTTGCATGTTCGTTAGTTAGTTGGCTGGCTAGCTAAAATGGGTTAATAGTGGTAGCAGTAACAGAGGCATATTCCTGCTGCCAGGCAGCGGCGCCAGGTTCCAAGTCCCAACAGCCCTTCATCAACCCTCTCAGGGTTATAATTTGGAGCAGAGCCTAAACAAATTAGAGCTGTGCGGCTGTTTGAGCAGTTGCAACTACTTGGGAACCGCTCTCTCCGATCGCATAGGCGACTAAGCCCGGTAAGTATAAACGAACATGCGTATAAAGTGCTACAAATGGAAGGAGGTGAACATGAAAACGGAGCGGCATGCTTCTGAGCCACCAAGCATCATGCTCGTAGAACAAGAGACTCATACTAGCTTTGGTGTCTGCAGCGAGGGTGGCACTTCGAAGTTGAAACCGCATGCCCTAAACCCGAGACCCAAAGCCCCCAACCATAATCCCTACACTGTACATCGTGACCCTATAGATCTTAAGCCTGCTAGGATCCCGAGATGGTCTCCCTGGCAACGCTGATGGCAGATGCCGACAGGGACACGAAGGACCCCAAAGCAGATGCTCCTTTGCTGAGGCTTCTTCGTGTAGGGATCGGAATAAACAATTAACAACAGTACCCCGCTATAGTTCCTAAATGTTAGAAGTATATCATGGTATTCATATACCCCAAACTCTCTTCTGCTCATCAACGTGCTTACATTAAGGGTTTACGGCTCCTAAGGGTTTTTTGGGGGGCTTAGTGCAGCCTCGGCATGTGAGGTAGGGCTCAGGGAGGAACGAGAGGGGCTCTGGGCAAAGGAGAGATGTGGAGTGTAGAAATGAGAGTTCAGGCATGAAAGCTTTGTCTGGCTCTCGCAGATGAAGGCATCTTAAACACATGCATATGTGTGCATGTTTGTATGTGTACGTATTAGTCTACATACATGTGTAGCTAGACAGACAGACAGTCAGACAGACAGATGGGCATATATATATATATGTATGCGCATATGCATATATATGTAGATATGTACACATACGCGCATAGTTAGCCAGGAAGTGTGTGCATAAACAAATTCTTTGTGTGTGTGCGGTACACAGGGAGATCCAAGGCAAGATGCAATTCTGCATGCTGGGAATGGTTGGGCACATGCTGAATTATACCTGTCCTGTCCAGTTTAAATCCTTTTCTAAGTTGTTGATTCTAGGAAACAGGAGCACTCAATCAATAGGACAGAAATTACATTCTCGCATACAGACGGCTTGGCCTCTTAAGATTGAAAGGCCAAAAGTCCAGAGCTTTATCAATCGTAATTAGTCAAAATGGAAGCACTCCGCCTTCAAAAGACAACAATGCTGTACTGGAGAAGTTCGAACATCTGGGAAGCTCTTTGCACCAACACTATGTAAACAGCCGGAGCTGTATAAACGCAAGCCGAAGTCCTGAACCAAACAATGCCTCAGAGATTTCGGCATCCCAAACCCAATGCCTTCGAGCCTTGCTTTGGGAAACAGTGCTGTGAGTACTATTCACTGGTTGTACGCACCTCGAGGTAGGGTACGTATGTAGGTAGCTAGGTAGGTATGTATGTCGGTGTGTTTTCAAGGTACTTCTGTCTGTATGTCAGCATGCGTGCATGTATGCACACACACAAACACTTCAACATCATACATGGAGATGCACGTACGCCTGTGTAACAGCATGCGTTTAAGCTCATTAAGCGTACATGGTTCTTGATGTTGATTTGTGGGCGCTTCATCGTGGTCACCATCATCATCATCCTCCTCATCATCATCACCACCACCACCACCACCACCGTGATCATTATGTGTCAAGCAAGGCTCCGAAGCAGAAGAAGGCTGATCGGGAGCCACTCGTCTCCTCTGGCCAGAAGTTGAGCTTTTTGCTGAAGAGGTAGCTGCAAAATCTCATATGGGAGCAGGATTCTTAATTATGTAGGGTTTAGGGTTTAGGGCTTAAGGATCCCTCAATGAACCACCCCTAATCTGCAGAAGCCCGTTTGGCTTCTAAAGGAAAGTTGGAGCTTCGGGAACGGGAATGCGAGCGGTTGCGAGTTTTGGGCCGCTGTCGCACTTAGTTACGAAAGGCTTTGCTTGCTTTAGGCCTTTTGGTTATACTGGGGTTATGTAACTGGTTTTGGGAAGCTTAAGTGGGTTTGGAGCCAACAGCAACTTGTTGAAATTCACAGCACCCTTTCAAACCTAAAGGACCAATAGTGTAGGAGTTTAGAGAAGCGGACAAGTGGCATGGAACTAGCCCACATGCTCATGTTCCTGAATCAAAGGGTCTTAATTCACTGAGTATAGCTCCCCTAAAACATCAACTGCTGCGCCTTAATGGGCAAATCATAGCTAGAGAGCACATCGAAGAGCCCAAGCCGTGAGCGCTTCACCTCCGTCCCAGGAACTTCTAATCAGGTTTCGACCATGCAAGATAGTTGGCAACCTACAGAAGATGTTGCAAAAAGGTGTCGGTATGGCAGTTACTGCAGCAGTAACTTACAAACCCTGTCAGCGCGCTCCCGCAAGCCAAGGCCCAAGCCCAAGGCTAAGGACCGGCCAGAGTTGAAGGCTCCGAGATCAGAGTTGAGGATGGTAGGATTTTCGGAGCTGCGGTTTATGCAAGGATTTCGGTGTAACAGCGGTAAACCAACACCGAGGCGTGCAGCGATTGCAGACGGAGGCGTACTATAGCATACTACGGTGGACTACAGTGTAATGTAGTCTACTATAATGCACTAGCTATGCTATGTACTACCATAATGTAGTATTCGGATGTACGACAGCAGTTATGTTATCGTGCCTTCTGATGACACCACAGATTGACCATGTGACTTGCTCCCGTGTTCTACTTCCTTTCTTCAGATTGCTTGCAGTTCTAAGATATAGGTATGCTAATACTGGAGTAGCCGTAGCTTAACAGATTTGCATGTTCTATACTATTTCGATTGTAACTGACATCGCTGTGCTCTTGTGCCGTTCACGATATGGTACCTAGTTCGAAGCTACGGTTTCAGCATGGCTGTCTCCGGACACCGTCTTTTATGTTGGTGAGCCTCTTTGTCGAATTGTAAACTTTTTTCGCCGCGGCAGATATCTAACACCGTCACCGGTGCTACCCCTCTTATACTGTGTTTCCATGTGGTGGTGGTGGTGGTGGTGGT